TTTTTTTCTTTTTTTGACTCGATCTGAATGATGTTATGCAAAGTCGGAACGTCGTTGTTTTTTATTACATGATTCTTAGGGATTTTAAGTAGTATTTCGTCTATATTTTTTCTTTATCGGCAGTAGATATTTCTATGCCCATAGAGTTTGAAGAAAATAAATTAAGTATATATTTTGGTCACTTTTTAACTAAGGACAGAAATGCCTTTTAGTTATTTTAATATATAATGATTGAAATTATTCTATATTTAAAAAATACATTTAGTTCTAAGAAAAGATTGAAAATGCAGTAGACCTGCTTCATGCAATTCAATAAGCTGAAGACAGCCTTTACGTCTCGACCATAAGTACATAAAAATACAGAGAATATTCTATCTGTATAATTAGTGTATCAATATTTCTAATAAATACATCTAATAAATCTAATAAAACAAAATGATAACCGAAAGAAGATATCACAAAGCACGCATGCGCAACACGTTTCATTGTCATCGATTGGTTTTTAAAAGGAAAGCAATGAATTTAGTCTCTATGACAGAATCTAAAATAAAATATAATAAGAAAATGAAATGAAATGAAATGAAATGAAATAACCCAAAATAAAATAAATATCCCAAAATAAAAATAAAAAGCAAAAAAATAATAATAAAAGCGATAAATTTAACTTTTATACCAAAACCTAAATTTAAAATTAAAATAAGAAAATAAAATAAGAAAATAAACGCAAATAAAATAAACTAGTAAAATAACCTAAAATAAAATAAAATAAAATAAAATAAATTAACCCAAAATAAAAAATGAAGGAAATAAAGAAATAAGGAAATAAACTCTCAAATTTTAGTTAAGCTAATGTTTTCACTCTTTCTCAAGTCATTGAAAAAATTAGTTTTTATAAGTACTCTTATAGAATCAAATCACGAACATAAATAAGATACATAAATTGTTTTAAAATAAAAATTCAATCAATTTTCCAAAACATTAATATTAGTTTTCAATTTTAAAATATTTTTTTCGCTTCATTTAGTTAGAGTCATTAAGTCTATAGTTTTCAAATCAAAATGAGTACTTATCGTAATTGATTTGTAGCCCAAAGCCTAAACATAATTGTCGGAGAGTAGCTCTTAGTTAATTGAAATATTAAAATATTTGGTATTTTCTGAGATCCTCAAATTATCACGAGGATTTTTTAGTGAGTTTAAATGTAACTTTTGTCTCTGTTGTCTGATATAACTGTGACTGATCATGAATGTGATTTAAATACGTATTGAACGTTCGATTTGAGCCCACGATGTGCTCGCGCTCAAAAAACCGCTGAAATTAATCTACAAGCTTTTATTGAAGAACAGTACGCGTTCTGAGCTTGAAACAGGGTAAAACCCTCAAACTTTGCACGGGATTCTATTCTTTAATAGGGTATTTGAATACATTCCTAAAAATCTAGGTTATATCAGCATTTTAGAAAAAGTTAAATAAATATTCTAACAGTGATGAAATAGATTTTTGTAAGGAATTTTCTTCGACTTTATGAGATTTTTTAAAAACACCGAAAATACAAAAAATGACAAATCAATGCATCTCTTTGTCTTTTTGTCGAAAATATCCACGTATTATTGTAGAATGATTGACTAGCCTTCATTCGTGCAACCATAGAGTCTGCAAATAACTATTATCTTATGAATCTTAATTTTTTTCTAATCACTTTCCGGTGGCGCAAGTTTTGCTCCAAAAGCTCGCGCGTAGGCTTCCATTAAATGCTGATTATCTCGAAAACGAGCTTGGGACACCCTATTTTTCTTTCCAGATTTGGAATCAGCATTAAATTTCAATTCGGAAAATCGAAGTTTTATATTAAATAAAGTTTAATATTTTTCCCAAAAGTAGGCAGTCACCTACTACACCTACCTAGCTTGATTTTAAACCTTAATTAAGTGAAATCATGGACTACTAACTCACAGATCAAACCCTGGAACAACCTCTGGGCTGATCTAAGCCAGG